TATATATATATATATATATATATATATATATATATATATATATACAAATTGAGAAAAATAATTCAATGTGATATATTTAAAATTTAACAAGTACGGCACGTTTACTTGAGGCTTATTCGCTCATAAATGGGCTTATTCGCCCAGATGAAAAACCTGTGTTGTCTAGGTTAAGCCAAGGTAAAAGACTTGCCCTACCCTTACACAATAGTCGCGCCTCTCTCAACTCACGTCTCTTCTCCATCGATCCAACACCCTATTGTCGTGCCTCTCTCAACGCAAGACCTTCGATCTCTTCTCCATCAATCGACTGTTGGTCTCTTCTCCATCGATCGACGGCTGTTGGTCTCTTCTCCATCGATCGACGGCTGTTGCTCTCTTCTCCATCGATCGATGGTTGTTGCTCTCTTCTCCAAAATCGATCGATTAAGGTATTTGCTGCTGTTAATTTTTGTTGTTTGCTTAAGGTATTTGCTGTTTGCTTAAGGTTTGTTTACCTGTTAATATTTGTTGTTTGTATTACATTTGTTTACTTGTTAATGTTTCAAAAATCACAGAGTTGTGTATGGCATTTGGTGATTATGGGTTTTGGTTATATTCTTTGTCCTACTTAGGTTTTAGGTTACAATGACTGTGAAACATTTGAAAATTAGAAATTGGGTACAAGAAATTTCAAGCTGTTGTTTGCACCTTTAGTTGATTAGTAAATAGAGATTATGGTATATATCATGGAAACAAGAAATTTCAAGTTGTTGTTTGCCTTTTTTGGGTATTTGCTGTTTGTTGAGGGGTAAATTGATCATTTCTGTTATTCAGACTGTTGATTCAGACAGAAAAGTAAACAACAACATAAATTTATCTAGACAGACAAATTTATCCGGACAGACAAATTTATCCATACAAGACTTAATAGAAAATTTGGTAAACAACCCTTAAGTTCAGTTGGTAGAGCTCCGCTTTTGCAATTGGGTCGTTGTGATTACAGGTTGGATGTCTAATTAATCAGGCGGTAATGATAATATCTTGTTTTCTAAGTAATGTATTAAATAATCGACTATGATTTGTATAATATCCTTCCAACTGTCATATTTCCCGGGTCGAACCGATTTTTGAAACATAGACCACATTAAGTTTTCCGATTTTTCTGCTGTAAAAGTATCCAACTATGGCGTTTAAAATTCATAACCAGAGACTAAAGACGACGAAGGAAGAAGGAGATATCCAAGATAGCACCACACAAGCTCTAATCTCACTTGCTCGTCGAACAAATTCATGGTCTCATGGATGAATGCGTGTAAATACGTGTGTTGTCGAAATTTCGGGAAGTCCTGAATTTGAGGATCCAACAAAGCTCACAGCCGAAGAAAAACGCGCCCACATTAGCAATCACGTGAAAAAATTCTGATAGTTTTCAATCAGACAACTTTTTTTCATGATCCAATTCTAGGTAAGGTAAGAAAATTCACACATGACAGGCATAGCCATCGTTGATCCATTTTTGTTTCATTTAAATTCCCTCAATGGGTTTTGTTTCATTTTTTTAATTCTTTCATCGATTTTGGTCGTCTATGTGATTCGAATTGATCTCATAGCTTTTATTCTGATGGATATCTTGCGAGTTGGGCGTAGGAAGAAACGAATTTGAAAAGGATGTATGTGTTATTTGGGAGGCTAGAAGTAGTAGGTATTTAGAAATTAGTATGGGCGTGAACGAGGTTCAAATTCTTGTGATCAAAATTGTGAAAAATGTGGGTCAAAATTGTTTATGCTGTGTTAAGAAATACCCAATTCGTTTATGTATCGTGGTTTTCTTATTCCTTTTGTTTTTGTTTTTTCCTTTAGCCTTCATCGCTTTAGCATATTCTTCCCCTGTCTTTGGGTTTGCGTTTCTTGTTCATAAAGTATTATTCATAGGTATGGATCGTCCAAAGGCTAAAAGTGTAGGAACAAAAGGTAAAAGATGGAAGGAATTGCAGTCTCGTAGGAGTTTTAGGTCTAAGAATCGTGTTCGTGGTCCCAATCAATATAATCAGAGTAGTTCCATGCATGATCCACCCGGTGTTTGGCAAAATGCCAAAGAGACAAGTAATGAAATATTTGACAATAATTTGGTTGATAAGAGAACCTTAATTGAGGAGAATCTGAAAGAGATACGAGAGGTGATGGTGGAATCTGTTGCTGGTTCTCAAGCTTTGATGCCTGCAGACCGTTACATATTTGATGAAGAGTATCGAAAATGTGGTTTTGATATTCATAAAGATACAGTACAGAAAAGTTTGGATGTTTGTGAAGACAAAGAAAAGAAACATGATCATGGGAAGAAGACCGTTAGGTGGGTAGAAGATGATGAAAAGAGTATAATGGATCTTGGAGTTTCGGAGGACGAAAGAACGAAGAGATTGGAGAGTCTGATGGAGAGAAGAAGATCGAGAAAGTGGTCGAGTTTTCAGGTTAGAAGAAATGGAACGGGAAATATCAGCTCTGGTCAAATTTCTTCCCTCCATATCCCCAAAATAAATCCATTTCTTGCAAAAAGTTCAGGAGATCCTACTTCATCTCCTCCTGGTTCAGCTCCATCGTATGTGGTCAAAAGCAACCCTTTTGACCTTCCTTATGATCCACATGAAGAAAAGCCGATTCTAACCGGTGATAGCTTCCAAGAAGAGTTCAAGGCTACTAACCAGAAAGAACCCATCTTCTGCAAGCATGTGAGATTCAGTTTAGGCAATTTCTTACCTCCAGAAACAATAAATTTTGGCAGTGATTTTGCCATCAAGCAGTTAAGCTCTGGGAAACTGGTGACTTCATCAGTAGGTAAATACAATTTGGCACATCTAATTCTAGCATTCTGATTATTTAAGGTCATAAGCTAATTTCTTTTTCTGAGCTTATTGAAAAAGTCCAGTTTGTTAGCCGTAAACTAGCCTATAAGCCAGTTTTGTAATGCTAATTGAAGTAGCATTTCAATAAGGCTTTTTTCGATTTTTTTCCAATTATGCCCCTTATATTTTTTTAAATTAATTCTTCAACATTATCATTTTAGGTCAATTTATATTGTTATCTGGCTTATTAGCTAGTTTTTACGAACATGACTAAACTAGCTTATCAGTTAGTTTGCCGACCATAGACAAACTTAATGAAGCAAATGGTGCTTAAATCGCTCAACTTCGTATCATGATGCTGAATTTTGTTTCCTAGAAAACAAGGAAGATGACGACAAACAACCTCAACAAGATGGTCTGATTCCTAATGATGCCATTGGTGATTACCATGCCAGAGTAGAAGGTGAATCCTTGGAAAAGGTGGTAGATGCAGTTTCCATCCCTGAAGAAGCAGCCGAAAAGGCGGTTGATGTGGTTTCCATTCCTGATGAAGCAGCTGGAACTGAAACATATACGAAAGAAGAACAGGAGGAGGTTCACCATGATGTATCCAGTGATCAATCAAGTTCCACATCTTCCTCAAGCGAAGATGAACCCATCTTAAGGCCAAACAAAGAAGCAATCTTGCATTGTCTCAGTATGTCGCGAATGAGAGTAGTTTCAGCAAAAAACAATTTTCACAGACATGCTGAATCATATGACTGTGGTCCGTCCACACTGTTTGACAAATCAAAAACCGATGGTTTCTTTTTTGGGGGCAATAAGCGGATTCATTATACTTCAACCTATTCTGTTGCTTCTGATATGCAGGTCGAGGTTTCAGAAATTAGTTCACCTCCATCAACAAACATCTCATCTTTTGATGATGAAGCTTCAATAGATACGGAAAAGGGTAAAGGAAGTGTGATGAACTCAACCGACCAATCTGAAATGGATGTACATGAAACAAGATTGAGAGATATAGATGAGAAGAGTGATCAAGAAACTACAGAAGCCGGATTTTCAAGATGGGCCCTGGATCGAGAGCCTCTTGAATCAATCATGATGCCAGAAAAGATCGATGAACAAGATGCCCACTATTTTACAGAAAAAGATAGACGATTGACACAGGGTACATCCTCTTGTTCGACTTGTAAGATGGATAATGTGGTACCAAATCAAGAAACCAAAGACCAGATTTTAGAAACTAAAACTAGGAGTTTGGAAACAAAAGTATCTAATTCTGAGATGGAACATCAGAATCCCATATCTGTTTTACAGTCAGAATCATCATTTGATCAGGGATCATCATCCAACTTTGTTCATGAAGTGGTGAATGAGGTTCACCAATCGGTTGAACCATTGGATCAATCGGAACCTGCTATTCTACCACCAACTGAGAAAGATCCTTCTGATAGTTTACCTCCAACAAAGAACGATCACCTTCAAAAAGATCAACAGAAGTAATGAATATGATAAACTATTCGAGCAGCAAGGTAGACGAACCCGATGTCAAGAACCACCAGCAACGACAGTAGAAATACATCCGGTGGTTAATCGAAGACCACCCCATCTCAAGATCAAGAAAATTTCAGGTGCACAATCTTAAAGACTTTGAATTTATCAGGAAAGATCGAAAACCCACATGTGAAATGTTGAAATTTTCACCAAGATTTATATTTGGACTTGAAAATATTTGAACTATCTTGCCAAGTCGTAGACGCTTGGGCAATTGCACCATGCACAGTTGGTTCAGAGATAGATCGTAGATATAGATGTAGACATGTAGTCCTACTAAGTATTTAATATCTTAATGTTATTGTTATTATTATTTTTTGTATATGATAAATACAAAATTTTCAATCCATTTGGATGTTAAAGATTATTCATTTGTGGCAAGGGTAGATTTGTCTTTTACTATATACATCAATCGATTCAGACCCATTTTTTTTAAAAAAGATATCGGGTTGCCTACCAGACCCTCCGGGGACCGGGCCGGACTTTGTGGATCTTTGGTACCAAATTGTATCTAGGGAGGTTTTATGAACTAAAACGTAATCTTTATAACCTCCAACTCCAGAGTGCGATTAATTATTTAACTTGTATTCTTATGGCGGTTTTGCCTCTCTCTCTATCGAAACCCTCGCGGTAAAACCCCATATTTTACACTAGCTGCAAAAGAATTCATGGCGGATGAAAAGAAGCAGATATATCATGAAAGGCAGAAGTTACAATTTTGCCTGCTACACTCGCTCAACAATCTTTTCCAGGTTTTAAATTCGTTTAGGTTTTGTATTTAAATCTTTGAATTCGATTGGGTATTATTTTGTTTTGTTTGCAGGAATTCTTTGGTGGATTGTACTAACAATAGAGGAATTAAATCAGATCATTTTGTTTAGAATTGATTGCAGTTTTGGTTAATTTTGTTGATTAATTACTCCATAAGTTCCGAAATTAGGTATAGATTCCTCTTAAGTTTTATGATTTAAATGCACCCTGAATATTAGCAAAGAGCTTATTAGTGATTGTCTCATTCTAGTAATGATGGTTGATCATGAAAATTTTGTTATCTTTATATACCCCTCTCTTGGGTTACAAGTTCGGTTACAAGTTCTTTACTTTCTTTTTGTTGTGATTCAGGAGAAGCATGCATTTACACGAAAAGATTTGGATGATATAGCTGAAAAACTTGTCCTAGAAGATCCATACAAAGGAAATTGGACACCCTTTTCGGTTATCTTCAAGCCTCATCATAATTCACTAACAGGTAACTATGATATAAATGTGTTAATTTCTGCGGTGGAAGGAAAGGGGAAGCGGGTAGTTTGGCATGATCGGCGTAATCGAGCTTCTTCCATTAATCTTGATGAATCTGAAGGGAAATTAATGGGAATTGTGCTAAATATTCCTGTAAAAAGGTATGGTGGGTTTTGGAGGAGCAGACATTGGGTTTCCTTGAGAAGGATTAATGGGGTTTGGTATAACTTGGATAGTGACTTTGAATCTCCTTACTCATTTGGAAATATCGAAGAATTAAGGGATTTTTTGGATGGTGCCATTGATGGCGGTACTGAGGTACTGCTTGTAAAGGATGATGACTAGTTACCTACATTAGAGATTGGATTGGTTTATCCTTTTAGGCACTTTAAAACTGGTTATAGGGTGAAGGTTTTTCTGCATGTTGCAATTTAAGGCTGTTCTACAAGTTCATGTTGTGGTGAAATGTGGTCGATTGTGATTGGGATCTCTTATGATTCAAAATTGAATTAAAAAAATGGTAAAATGGCCATGGAGAGATGCTCTTTTAGATGGTGCATACACACTCATATTTAGTTATTTGAGATTTCAAATGTGAGCGCTCCTCAATGGTATTGCAAGTTGAATATCTACTATGTGTTCTCTTTACCAGTTTGTAACTTTATTGCTGCTTTATATAGAGGTTTTTGTGTTATAAACACATGGTTCAGTGGGTTTATTATTTACTCCGTTGAGCAGAAAAGAGTTATGGTTTACATCCATCAACCTATTCTTTCTTTGTCAAGATTCTTGTATATTCTGGCAATACTCTCAAAGAACATCAATTGATCATATAGGATTCATCTATTTGTGCGTTTGTAGCCCTTTCCATATGTTCAATTTTTTCTTATCTTCTTTATCTTTACTCTTCACGCACTTTCCACACCTCAGGGGCCAGGGGTTTTCACAGAACCAACTGCTTTACTCTTTGGGGTAGAGGTAAGATCTTCATACATCCCACCCCCACCCCACCTCAGGGTGGGACATACTAGGCTTGTTTTGTTTGGTTTCTATTTGTGTTTGTGGCAAGTATTCTATTTGATAATGGGAAAAAAGGTCAAAATGAGATGAAAGTGAAGCTCTCAGCAGGATGGGGAGCATTTGAGATGTCATTGAGTCGGTATGATCTTTTTTTCTTCCCTTTTAGAAATACCATGCATACAGCAACCATATTTAACCATTTAATACAAGTTTGGTCTATAAGCATTGATTCTTGATAGATGGAGATAGGTGTGTATTTGAGCTTTTAGAAATACTATTTTTGGTATCTTTTCTCTATTATTAGTGCATAAGAAAAAGACATCTCTTCACACACAAGCTTTTGTAGGTCTATTTAGTAGGTTATATGTGTTGTGTTTGAGGAGATCTCGACAATGGTCATTGTTTATCGTGTGGGATAACTGAATTAACGCCTTCCTTCCTCAGCCTTTTGGGAGAAAAGAACATGGTTAAATTCTGACATGTTTATTATGTTGCCTGGGAATTTCTGTTGGTCAAGAATTCTTGAATCATATCAAAAGATATCCATATAGTTCCTAACTTCCTATTGAAGAGTGCATATTTTGTGATAGATGTACATAGAACACGTAGATCAAATGATCCTTAGATAAGGGTGTGTAGTTTCGACACGTTGGCTATATTTTCCCTGTACTTGCCTCTATTTATGTTGTTGTTGCTTACTCATATTTGTCTTCCTCTATTGCTATTGCTTACTCATATCTAGTTTTTCAAACGTTAGCTTATTATTTCTGTTCACTTTCACACACTTCTCACTTGTCGGGGGTCTTTTTGGAAACAAATGTCCTACTCTTTAGGGTAGATATCAGGTATGCATACATCTTACCCTAGACATTACCTTTAGATGTGATATACTGGGTTTGTTTGGTGTTGTTTAAATATGCATCTTAACACAAGTTACACAACCCCTTGTGGATCCATTGACTAGGCCTTACAAGTAAAGACCGGTTAATATTCATGATACTACCCTTCCCCACGAATTAAATGTTGGGAATATGATATTTAATGTATTATGTCCGATCAATAGTATCAAGGAAGAGAAGATTTTAACAAGCCTCTACAGGTCCATCCAATAAAGTATGCATTATTTCTTAAATACTCTGTCCCAAAATAAGTGTCCACGTTTCTATTTAGTTTGTCCTAAAATAAATGTCCGCTTTCAAAAAAGTACCCACTTCCGAGTTCCGACTCTTCCTTTAGTTATGAGATGAATAAATCGATTACTCCCTCTTTCATTAAGGATGGAATTGTCATTTTGTTAATTAAAAAGTGTAACAATTACACATTTTTATAACCGTGTCTTTTTCATTGTAGACATTTACTTGGGCCGAAGGGCGTGCTGTTTGTCGTGTAATAAATCTGAAATACAGATCGAAGTTGTGGAAAATATTCTTCTTTATGGGGTTGTCATATTTTGTTAAAAGTAGTACTTTTCCAACTCTGAAAAAGGCATCTGTTCAGTACCTTGTTAATCTAAAGCACAAAAGGCTAAGTATGTGTTCAGGAAATTGTCTTAAAATAGCTATTTTTGACCTCTAAATTCACTTTATAGCGCTTTTTTACATAATTGACTTTAATAACCAATATTTTGTAAGTAACACTTTAACAACTTGCGAAATCTAAGTTTTATGAATTTAGTATTTATAAATAACAGTTAACAAGACGCTAAAGTGCTACTTGTGAAATGATGGCATGGAAGTCCCACATACAGTACATATTAAGAACACGTCAGATTGTTCCTTATAACCTTAATTTCTTTGTACTACTGGTAGGTCTAGTTCAAGAACTGGTTTCATGGTACCCCCATGACTTCATTGATAAAATCCCTTGTACCGTACAACTTAGCTATGCGTAAGTAATGCTTCTATTGTTCTATTGCATATAAAGACCTCCTACTACCTCTCTTAACATATATACATACACTAACATTGTATGTATATCTTGAACTTGATTCTGTCTCCACATCTCCTCTCACCCCATAAGCACGCACAGTATTGTGTGTAAACGCATAGAGTCGAAGGCTACTATGTCCTGCAAACCGAATTCGAGTAAAACGGTCGTCGGTGGAACAAAGATTTGCAGGTTTATGGTGCCTGTGAGATACCTTAAACATGTTGGTGATTGGATGGTGGCGGTTTTTTGTTTCGTGGCTCCTCGGAAACGGGGTTCCAAAAAGGTTTCTTCATCGGCAACACCAAAACGTATTTCTTTGTCTCCATTTGATTCCCAAAGAGCAGAAGCTGTTAAAGATTGCATCGAGTTCATCAACTCATCTTCTTCGTTAACCAGGTCCAGTTCTGTTTCCTGTTGAATTCATTCGTGTTCATGATTATATGATTCGTTACATTTGATTTTAAAATTATAAACTTTAAAAAAAACCCCGATGTTTTTATTTGGTTCCGGAAATCGTTCGGAGATCAATGGTAGGGTTAGTAGTTGGATCTTGTATGTTTATTTGGTGAAGATATAGCTGTAGAATTGAATGAAAGAGGAGACATCACATGTTGTGGTTTATAGTCATGGCTGGTGCTGGTGTTCCCGTACAGTGTAGGCTCTACATGTTCCCTCACAAAATTGACCATTTTACCTCGTTCTCATACTTTGGTTCATACAATATGAGAGGGATGTCACATCATAACCTACTTTCTGTATTTTTTCCTGTAACATCATTAAATTTAACACTACTATTTATTTACCGGATAAGATTTTAGTCCACCAAAACGACATCGCATGTAACAATTTACACGGTAAGTGCTTACCGTGGTAAGAGTCGTCGCTCTCACTTACCGGGTAAGACTCTTGGTCCTTACCGCATTCATCCGGTGAGATAATGTGACTTGGTAAGTGCTTACCCAGGTAAACGTTTGGTAAACGGCCCCTATATTAAGAACCTACGTGAAACTTCACAACAATAGTTCTTATAAGAACCTTTGTGGGTTTCATTTATTTTTTCAAACATCAATGCTAATTATAATATCAATAAAATGTAGAAAAAGGTTAATAAAAAAATCATTTCACACCAAGTTCAAGATAAGAACCAAGGTTCTTATACAGGAACTCAAAGAAAGTGGGATTTTTAGAAGAACTCTTTTTAATGGTGCTTCTTCTAAGATTGTTTATTTAAAACAATTTATGTTTCTCTATAAAAGCATTTATCAACTTATTATAAGTCAGAAGGGTTTAACTTCTTCAAAAACTTCTTATTAGCGGTTTGACATTGGTATAAGTTGTTTATCCAAACACTCAAAAGTGCTTATTACTGGTGTCATACCGGAATAAGTCAATGAGTTGTTTTTATAAACAATTCCAAACACGCCTTAAGAATGTATACTTTTTGCTTATAAGAATCTAGTATCGAAGATGTTTTAAAAGCAAGTCTTGATGTTGATGTATGTGAAAAGATAATTGGTAGGTAATTTGCATTTAACAATACATAATGATGTATTTAGTCTACTCCGGTAAAAGAAGGAATTAAACAGCGGTGGGCAAAATGCAACTCTACTTACTAAGCATTTCCAATAGATCTCTATAATTTTTATAAAACAGAAAACCAAAAGTTAAAATATCTTAAAAGTTACATTTAAGTCTAACACCTTCTATTTTAGAGAATTTAAGCATAAGCTAGGCAGGTCTCCCAAATGGAATGATACGGTGGCACGGGCCACCACATCATAGTTCTGTTGTAAGGGAAAAATTGCATTTCTAAATGGTGTCATCGTATTGTTTTATTAGGTGTCATCATATAGTTTTTGAAACTGAAATGTTAGCAACCCGAAATAACTCAACCCGAAAATACCCAACTTCAACATGAAATAACTCAACCCGAAGCAACCCGATGTCTAATTGAGTTGTAAAATTGTCAAACCATAGGTATTGGGTTGACATTGAGTTACTATTATTTGAACCCAACCCAACCCGATAGACTTTTATTTCTTGGATTTAATATGATTGTTGAATTTCTATTAATATGTACATTAGACAATTACACTATTATGTATGCTCTTCATATACACGTATTTTCAATCTATTCACATTTTTATATAACTTATTCGTAAGTATGTTCAGTAACGGTGAACGTATATATGTAAATTGAGAAAATTTACTGAATGTGATATACGTAAGAATTATGGATAAGATGTATCAAATGGTTGATGATGAAAAAAAAAAATTATGAGTAGAGAAATAACATATTCTAGGTTAGAAGAATATTTAATGTACTAAAGTATCAAATCGACCAACCCGTCCGGGTTGGGTTGGGTTGCACTTTGGTTCGGGTTGAGTTGGGTTAAAAAATTTCAAACCGCAAGCATCGGCTTGGGTTGTTCAAATGTCTTCAACTCGATCAACTCAACCCATAAGCACCCTTAGTCAGGGGTGTATCTAGCACACCCCATATTAAAATATCTGAATCTCATACAAAATGAAAGGAGGAAGAACTTGAATTACAATAAAAGGGTCACATGAAGGACATGCGACTATCTACTTGTATTAATTGTCCATGTCATGATTTATGTATGGAACGCCAAGTTGTTACTTTTTCGGTCATTAACGCAAACGGTCTGATTGTTGAATCTTGCAATGTGAAGCTTTAAAAAGCACAAAGTTCAAAGGTTAATAGATGATGTGATGAAAGCCTTATGGGCCGTTTAACAAACACTTACCCAGGTAAGCATTATCCAAGTCCCATTATCTTACCGGATGAATATGGTAAGGATCAAGAATCTTACCGAATAAGAGGGAGACAAGGACCGAGAGTCTTACCCGGTAAGTGAGGGGCGACGACTCTTACCATGATAAGTGCTTACTGGGTAAATTGTTGCATACAATGCCATTTTGATGGACAAAAGTCTTACCCGGTAAGTAAGTGGTAGTGTTAAATTTTACCGGTAAGCGCTTACTGGATAAGTGTTTGATAAACGGCCTCTTAATGTGTTTCAAGACATAACTTATAACGACAAAAATCAGTATATATTATATATACTACATACATATATGTTTTATATTGTAACTCAATAATATTAAATCAATTAAATTCATATATAAAAGAAAATCATATCAAGAGCTTAAAAAACGTATAAAATATAAGACAATTTTAAGAACTTCTTTGTTATAAAAAAAATTGAATAATCTATATTACCTTATAAACCAGATTTGTCAAAAGTTTTAAAAACAAATTTTAATGCACAAAATACTACACATTTATGCACAAAGTCTTGAAAACAACTCATAATGCATTACGTACTACTACTTTATGCATTTAGTCTTAAAATCTCTTAATCTACAACTAAAATAACATATAATACAAGTTATCAATGCACATTATTACTTTTTATTTTCATGGTACCAAGATATTTTTGACACCTTTCACTCATGTCTTCACCCTCGCATACCTCTATGTCTTCTCTCCATCCCTCAATGTGAGATTCAAAATGATATTCACCATGAGTTATTCATTCATCTTACATTCAGTTGCTCTAGAACTCTCGATCTCGCTTTCGATCTCTTGATTCTTTTCTCTTTAAATCGAATACATTTGTGGGGTCGTTTAAATATATTGGATTATAATTATATATGATTTTAAACCATCATACACTTTTTTTCATCGATAAACTATAATTTGAACCATAACTCTTATTTATTCAAATTGTATTAATACGTAAAGATCAGGTGTAACTTACATCATCGTTAAATCTTCTCTAATAGAACCAGTGAAACTTCAAAATAATTAAAATTCACGACTCCCGCCGCATTACACGGATACACAACTAATTACTTATAAAACTCGTGTCATAACTTGTTTCTAGAACAGGGGCGGACCTACCTTTAAAAGGGTGGCCTGAGCCCGAGTGGTTCCCTATAAAAACCGCTAAGAAGATGGGGTTGTCTCTAGATCTTTTTAGGATGCAACCATCCAACCATAAGTTTCTGGAGAATCAAAAGTTTAAATCTCTAAATAAAATTTATATTATTTTTAAGTTTTTGTATTTTAGAGATTACAACACTCATAAGGTAATGAGTTATTTCTAGAGCACGTCTTTTTATAATGCTTAAGGATCTCGGTAATATGAATTATATTATTAAAATATTCTACATCTTTCATAAAATATTATTTCTCTTTTATACGTTTAATTTTAAAGATTCTCATCGGTAAAAAGAGTTAAAAATAATTTCTCTTTCAAATTTAATCATTTTTTGAAGAGTTATCCGAATTTAAAGAATTCCACCATTTCTCTCCTACTTTCTTCATTCTGGAGAAGGTTTTGAGGGGAATCTTTTGGAGCAAAAAAATTCCAAAATCTCTATTTTGGAGAATTTGTTGGAAATGCTCTAAATATTAAATTTTCAGAAGTTTATATAAAAAAAATATGAAATGAAACTTCAAGATCTTACGGTATTTATTTTGTGATACCACTCCAAAAAAATCCCCAGATCAATATATACTCAAGATCAGGAGTAGATTTAGGGAGTTCCAGTAGAAACCCGTTCAACCATAAAAATTTCAGATACTGTGTAATTTTGTTTTAAAGTCCTTAAAGATGCTACATTTTTGTTTGGTTGTGTGCCTACGGTGCAACCACAAAAATATCCCCCTGGATCCGCCTCTGTTTAAGATGCCCTAACGCACACCTCACCTTACACGGCTTTTGGTGCTACCGTGACATCAGAAACACGCAATTAACAACCGCAATGACGAACCTTGTACAACCATACACATTCTACATATTTACATACAAAGGGGAAATGGCTATATTATTGCTATTATTAGTAGTTACCGTACAATATACAGAAGGGTGTATCCAAATGTGTGTCTAGTCTTGTTCTTGTTCTTGTTCTTCTCCTATGTTTCTATTTGTGAAATGGGTATGAAAAAAAGATGATCATAATTTACTACTTACTTTACAGGATCAAATTACCTTCCTTCCTGCCATCTTTTCGAGCTAAGCTTTCATTTGGCTTGTTTCTTTCTATCAACCCTCTCACCAATGCTTCCACAAATATATGTTGATTTGAACTTTGCCTCATGGGTCGCAAACGAGACTTGATGTAATTCAGTCGATAATTTTCTCGCCCGTTGAAAAAAGATTCCATATCACGGTTCCAACCAAATACAGCCCGATCGCTACCTCAAACACTTCATCCCATGAACCTGCTCACAACGTATCAACTATAAAAGCATTTCCAACAGATTCTTCATTTTGGAGAGAATAGATATTTGAGCAAGATTTTTGTTATTCTTTATGAATAGAGAAAGTAAGAGAAACCAAAGGGCCTTTGACTTAGCGGTATGTGAGTCTTTGTTCTCCTAGGAGGTCAATGGTTCAAACCTAACCAAATGTGAGGAGAGTGTGTAAGTTTATTTGCTGTATATAAATATTATATACTTAAAAAAAAAAGAACGAAATTCTCCAAAGGGAAATGTTCAAAAAAAAAAACTCATCAAACTATCTCATTTTGAATGGTTAAGTACCTGAACTATTTTTTTTTATTAACCTGGATATCCAACCCCACAGTGCGAGCTCACTAATCTCAGGGTGACCACCTGCTTTGCAGATAGCCCGGAGTCACCACATTTGAACCTCCATGGCCACAAGGAGATTTTTCTTTTTGATTTGGGCATGCAATGTTAGATAAGAGACCACATGTTTCGTATAATCTAGTTTTTGTTCCGGTGAAGGGATAAAACAGTACCGTGTTGCAAGATGTAACCGGTTGCTGCAGTACCAAAGACACCAGCCAGAACTCCGGCAGTATTAGACAAACCAAGCAGCACCCCCTATCAAGCACAAAAACACAACCGGTTTTTTAATTGTTGTAAAGCAAAATCTTTGATGTAGTGATAAGGGCAATCTAAAAGTGTTCGATAACGGAGCTGCTCACAGAATATCGAGGGGCAATATCTTGATGATTTGAATATAATCCGGACTGTGAAAATGCATCAGACCCCTGTTTCATAAGGGAAAATATTGCTTCATCAGTGAAAAAACTTATTTGGTCATTTCTTTATGCTATACAAAGTTGGTTTAGTGAAAGTTATTGGTAGCTTATAACTTTGAACTTAGCTCACAAATCTATAACTTCTATCCATAAATATAACCTGCCCAGAATCGGGTCAATTTTTGTTTTTAGGAATAACGTTCTTATAATCTGTGTGGATTAATCTATTTGTATGGATTAGGAGGGTTTTTTCATAGATGGAAGGAATATGTTTTTTAGTTGGGAGGGGCATGTTTGGAAAAACTTGGCTTTCTGCATAAAACTCCTCTAAAAACTTACTAAATAAGTCACTTTCTATATCATTAAGCCACTACCAAACAGTCATGTATAGCTGACCGAATAAGTTGCGAGTCCCGTTAAGCTCATAAAGCTGCTAACAAACAAGCCCTTAACTGTCCTGTGTTTAAGCTCTTACAAGAATCATTTCATATAATTAAGCACAAACCTGACTACACGCCATGCACAAGACAGCCATTGCGGGAGAGTTGACATGGCTTAATTGAGATAAGAAAAATGCAGGCCCAAGAAATCCAATTGACTGCATTACCTGAGTTTGGGTTTAAGAGAATAAATCACATAAGATACAAAAAGAATGATCAAAATAGAACATCAAGTCATCGATACATTTTTCAGCAGATACGGTGAGAATGAGGAATACCTTTCGTACTGTGGTCACTGACCACCCTTTGCTCACTAGTGTGTCGGCTATCCAGCCTCCAAGATTGGCCGAGAACGCCATTGTAAGCCAAGGCAATACACAGAATAGCCCAGATTCTGTTAGATTGAATCCTAGGACCTGTAGCATTTTTATTAAGAACAGGAAAGTTCAATTCCTTAAACCAGTACTAGGTAGGGTTTTCTTGACATTCTGGAATCATGCATCTACGTTTTTTTACACATAAAGTTGGTTAACATTTCCTAGAACACAAAAGGGAAGTTCTGATATTGCAAAAAGGACTAACCTGATTATAATAGGTAGGCATCCATGTGAGGAGTATAAACGTTCCCCAGTTGTGACAAAAATGGCAAGTTATCAAAGCCCATACGGGTGCTTTTGACAAGATCAATCCCCAGGGAATAGTTTTAACAGGTTCCTCAGAAACCCTATTGCGAAAAATCAGCTTCTTTTCTTCAGGACGAAGTTCAGGATCTTCAAGAGGTGAACTGTATGCCTAAATATACAAAATGCTTGGTGTCCAGAACAGAATTTTTGAAAAAGAAAACAGAAATATCACAGATGAAAGAAGGTTGTGATAGTTCAGCCTTGTTTGACAATCATAAGTTAGCTTATCTTTTAAATTTATTGAAAAGCCCTGTTTCTTTAGCCATAAACTAGCTTTTTGAAACGTTTCAATAAGCTCTGGTAGTTTTTTTACAAAAAATTTCCGACTATGCCCCTTATATTTTTCCAATTAGCTTTTCAACTTGTTCTTTTAAGCATTTTATGTTGTAATCTGGCATATCAGCTAACTTTTATCAAACATAACTAATTTATCAACCAATAGCTAGCTTGCCAAATATAGCCTTTGTAATCAGCTGTCATCATTGCAAAAGTAGGATAGTGATGGTATTTGAAAAAATACCTTACTTAACCATAATGCAGTCCACACTGTTCCTAGAGAACCAAAAGAGAAAAAGACTGAAGGCCATCCATAAGAATGTATTAAGAATGGTGAAAAGGCAAGGCCGGTGACGGAGCCAAGGTACATTCCACTGTATACCAGAGCCAATGATCTACTTCTCTCTGCAACAGGAACCCATTTTGACAGAAGATTATTCATAGCCGGCATGGCCACACCCTAGAAGAAAGCAACAGAACTTGTGAGAAGCTAAAAGTTTATCGATGAAAACAAATCGTCAAAGATTGAAAAGAGATGCAAGAGAAAGAAAAAGAACCTCGCCTATACCCATGAAAGCACGGACTATGAGTAGGAAAGGGAGTCCGAATTTTGCAGCAATGGGAGTAAGAACTGTTGCTATAGACCACCAAATGACACCGAACGCCAAAACTCGTTTCCCACCTACAGTGTCTGCCCAAATACCTCCTGCAATCTAAGCTTAATTACCATTAATTCAAAATACATACCACGACATCAATTCTTTTCTGGTAACTTTATCAAGTATCAATCTAGTTGCAGCACCTACGTGATTTATATCAAAAGGGCTACTTTTCAACATTCAGTTGAACCTTTTTTTAATTCATTACATTGATAAACATGAACAAATTGATTATACCTTCATCCCCGTATAAATGAAATAATCTTTGTAAAGTTTTTCAGACTCTAAAGGACTACTTTTCAACTGGATTTTGAATACAATTTGATAATCACATTAGTAAGTAGTGCAACTTCCTTTTAATTAGTAAGTAGTGCAACGTCCTTTTAAAGCATTCATAGTAATATATTTTCTTGAATCACAATCTATAACATTGATGCAACATATATTATCTAAACAGAGATGTTGGTGGTGTTGGTAATTGACCAGTGTATTCTCAAGAATGAATTCAATGTCCTGACAGTAATACTATGTCGATTCATTCGCATTTTATTCTAATAATCTATCAGCAACAATAATGTAAACAATAAGTATCAAATGGATGTGGGAAGAAATTGGGAAAACCTGAGTGAGAAGGTAGCCCCAGAAAAACGATGACTGTATCAAACCAACAGTAGTAGAATTCCAATGGAACTCCGATGACATTGGTAGTATAGCAATGCTCATATTCACCTGCCACATAGAGAAATCTAACTTCATTATTTATCAAAAGGAAAAATTCCAGATCCAATATCATAGATTCTAATTCTCCCAACATGGCAACTACAAAGCTGTATTGTCAGTTGAAATTTGGGGGTTACATAAGAACTGAGAGTTCTATCCCTATGGTTTAACATTTGATTAGTGAATTTCTCCCATTGACACCCCATCAAATGACATGAAAGTATCCCAACTTGGAATTGCAAAGTTTCATTCTGTTTTTCAGACACTAAACATACCAGATGATCAATCAATTCCGTTCAATTCTGAGCTGAAAACAGCTTAATATGGGAAAAATTATACACAAGTACACAACTAACAGAAAACATGAATGAGATAGGTTAACCAAAACATGGTTCTCTCAAGTGTCACCAGAGTTCCGTTTAAGTGATACGTCACGATCAATTCAAGTTTGTTTTAAGGTATTTGTATAAATTCATTTATATACAGTAAGATAGTAGTGACAGGAGCTTACTCTATCCATGTTGCAGAGAAGGAAAGCAGAAAAACAGAGAATAACAATAGTCCAACGTTTAGGGAACTCCTCCCACCACGGAACATCACTGTCAACAAATTCATCTCCATTTTCATCCTTCGATACAACATCGCCTCCCAATTTCTCTTTAAACTTGAACGATCCAGGCGCTGACTTCGAAAGTTCATACGGTTCTGATTTCACTTCCGACCTCACCTTCCACACCTGATTCCTCCTAACATCGGAACCATTCAAAAGAACATGAACATAAGAACTAGATAAGAACTGAACCCTAACTCTGAAACATAGTTTGGAGTTCGAATTCGACTCGGAACATAAAAGTTTCCGATAAACCGGTGTCTCCGGCGCAGGGTGGCGTTCCGGAGGAGAATATAGATTGATCGGAAGTGCTCTTCCGTTCATGGAGGTCGAGCTGCAAGCTATTGGGCTGCAGCGATTTTGTGTTGGAGAAATTTTTGAATTTGTTGTTTGTTTTTTTCGTTTTCTGGACGTTGCAGGGAAGGGGGAGATCGAGGATGAAAGAATTCACAGGGAAAGGAGTGATATTTATGGTGATTGGTTCTGATTGTGACAAGTGGCAATCTTCTGGCTACACTAGATAGAAAAGTGGGCCCCACTGAAACGTCGCCGTTTATTCTGAACGTTCACTAAAACAGAAAAACAGTTGGGCTTATGAAAATGGTTTTTGGGCCTAGCCCAACTGAATTAATTTGTATATACTTTTTCTTAATATGCTCCCCAATTCCCAAATAATCGTGTCATTGAATATTTGGGCATTCTCATTTTGAAGATTAAGAGGCGGTTTACTAAATGTTTATCTAGATAAGTACGTTTATTAAGACATATTTCTTTAGCGGATGAATATAATAAGAACAAAAAATCTTACATGTTAAGAGGGAGACAAGAAACAAGAGTCTTATCCGCTAAGTGATGTCGACGACTTTTACCACGGTAAGAGCTTATCGGGTAAATTATTGTATACGGTATCGCTTTTGTGGACTAAAATCGTATCCTGTGAGTAAGTAATAATGTTCAAATGTTATCGTTAAAAACTTATCGGGTAAGTTTTTGGTAAACGACCCCTAAGTCATTGGGAATTCTTGAGAGAGAGGGGACATTTAAGGGAGAACTAGTTAGTTTCTGATAACCATAAAATCCAATTTCAATCACAAATCAATGAATAAATTAGGAAATTGATAATCATGGTAATTTTGAATTAAAATTTTAAATAAAAAGCATTTGGTTATTTTAAAACTCTCACCTCTCTTCTCCCCTCTCTCCTCTTCCAACCTCCGATCAGAAACCTCCAACCTCTAGTGAACTTATTCCGGCAAACACCAAGATACACAATGTGATACCTAAAAACATCGACACTGTTAAAGAAAAGATACTTGCAAACGACCTTTAGTGTGATACACACTATGATACCTAAGAACTTCTAGCAGTAAGACACAAACACAATGTAATACCCACTATGATACCACTAAACCCGTTGTGATACACATTATGATACCCAAGAACTTTAATACACAAATTCATTGTGATACTAATGTGATACCCATTGTGATATCACTGTGCTATCGTCTTGAATAGGATTGAGGCCAAATCTGATATCGGTTTTGTATCAAAAACATAACCACTATGATACCCACATCAAGATTTGAAGAAAAGAAAGAAAGAAAAAACAATAGCCTCAAACATAGAATTCAAACCAGAAAAAGTCCTTATAAACATGGATCTGGAAACCAGGAAAACTCAAAATACCATGGAAACTACTTTAAAACTCAAAATAATTATTTTAGCATGTACAAAATTTTCACAAAGCAATTTGAATTCAACTTGCTAGGTTAGGTTAAACCTAGTTTTCGAACTCATCTATAGCTTCCAAAATGCTGAAGACTTGAGGTCTACAAGCAAACATCCCCAAGAACCCTTCCAAATCTTGAGATCAACAAACATGATTCTTCAATCTCAAAGTCTTTTCTCCCATTTGTTCCAAAAAGCTCATAAAAATCGGCCTTAAAGTCGCCCGACCCACTCCCTTGGCCGCCTGGCATGTGGCCTAGGCCGTATTCTCAGCCGTTCTCCCGAACATTTTTCCTGCCGTTTTCCCGACCTTTTAATAGGGTTGTTCCTTGACCATTTTCATGGTCGTTTCCCAAAAATTACACATGTTACATATCATCCCTATTCAAGAACAACATTTATATATACGACGATGAAAGGGTGAATGTTAACAAAATGTTTTGATAGTCCGTGACGTCAACATCGTCTTTACAATTCTTATTGTCGGGTGGGAAGGTGTTGCACATAATTATAGATTTTTTTTCTGAAGCTTTATCATATAATGATATTGACTTTTCATTTCCTCCTTCAAGTATACTAACGATTTAGAGGTAATATATTTAATATATTAATAGGAGATGGAAATATTATTTTAATTATTTTCCATCAATACGGGATATACAAAATAAATGCTTAAGAAAAGAAATAAATTTCATCAAATGTATAAATATTTTATAAATAATTAAAGATTTCACTAAAATTGTATTTTAAGTCAAATCATCGTAACTCCTGGACTAATATTCCTATGAATTGACGAGTAGTTACAACTGCTACTTCTTAAATAAGTTGTCTAAAAAGTCAATAGAAAATAATATTTTAATTAAATTAATGGTATCGATTATTTTATTTAAGGTTTTGAAGTTTATTCTTTTAATATCTGATTGAACCAAATTGGTGGTCGTTGTGGTTTGTTCAAATTATAGATTTGACTATAGGTGCACAAAAAACCATTAACCTGTAAAACCTGCTCAACCCAACTCGTTAACAACCCAACTCACCTAACCATCTCAACCCGTAAGGGTTGGGTTGGGTTATATTTTTGAATGGGTTGGATTGGTTTGAGATTTTTCCAAACCATCATAAGTGGGTTGTGTTGTAAACCGCTCAACCCAACCCGTATGCACCCCTTGATTTGACCTTTAAAACAAACTATTTATATTGATGGTTTTTAATTTTTCAATTTCTTGATAATCAAAGTCTTCAAAGTTAACATCGTCAGTTAACAATCGTTAAAAAAGACAAATCAATATTTAATTGTGATTCACAATTTTTTTAAATCTTTATTAAAAATATTTTAAATACAGTTAAGATTTTTTTTTATTAAAACTGATTATCATATTAATTTAAGGGGTTGCTAAACATACCCCCTACGACAAGGGGGTTGATAAAGATACCCCCTTACGTCACTTTTCACCCCCTCCTCCTCATATCTTTCCCTCACTCACCACCCTCACATGAATCGAATTTTTTAAAGTTGTAATTTTAGATTTACACTTTATACTCCTATAATTAGTTAATTTATTTATTTTACGTCCCTTTCTTTAAATTTTTCATTTTACACCTTTATCAAATTTTTAATATATTTTTTAAAATAAGTCTAATATTGGTATACAAGCATGTGCAACATGCTTATCGATACGGACACAACCACTGTCGTTCCCTCAACATGAGACTATTGCAATCGAGTCATTGAATGGTAACCATTAGGTAAGACAATGTGAACAAGAGAGTAGCCAATGCCCACAATTACGACACAATAACAACATTCGAGATTTTCCGATACAATTACATAGAATACCTATATTAATATCGATTAAATGTGTACACAGATCATTACATTATAATTGTACTCTAAACATATTGATTTTAATGATCGGTGACATCAAAAATATTATTTTATCTCTAATAACGTCTTTTATTTTATAAAAAAAAACGATTAATCAAAAATTTCAAAAAATACAATTTTTAATTATAAATGTTATATTTTTATTTGTTTTAATGTTAAAAATAAAATAAAATTTGTAGTATTAACACGTATTATTTAGTTATTATATTATTAATTAATTAGGCTATAAAATAGAAAATATAAAAGTAAGAGGAGTAATAGAGAAATATTAAAAAGGTTTAAAATGAAAATTTAATTATACTCTTTTGAGTATGATTTTATAGAGGGCATATGAAAATAATATATTTATAAAAATGATATTAGCTTAAAACTTTATCTTATTTCGGTGACGTTTGCATTTTAAGAGGTGTTGAAGTCTGAAATCTGATTTTACTTCTGGTTTATAAGAGGTGGTCTTGAAGTCTGGAATCTGGATCAATAAGATTTTTTGTTTTTACATCCGAAATCTGAATCGGTCAAACTAGCGTAAAAAAATAAAAAATAAATAGTTTTTTTTTACAAATGTATAAAAAAATAAATAGTTTTTGCTAGCAAATCTCTTCCAGCCCTCAAAATATGAACCATTTGATAAAGGATGGATTAGGATTAATAGGTATGAAAGAATATGTTTACCACTTAAAATTTCAGATGATATTTAGAGCTTTTAAGGTATTATTTTAGGAAGAAAAAAAACAAAGGTTCTTAATATTCAAATGCTTGAACGAATCAGATTTCAAAGGGAGTCGGTGTGAATAATGGAAATTGGTAGGGCATATAAGTCAAATATGAGAGGAAACAGAAGGATTCTTTGGGCCAGAGTAAGATTACATTTGGCCCATTTTCATTTAATAAATACACGAGATGTCACTCATTCTACTCTACAAAATATATTAATTCATTAATTAATTAATTAAATCAATCTACTTTTACTCTAATTTCTCTACACTTTTTTTTTTAATATAATGAAAGCTACTTTACATTTTAATATTAAATTTTAATATATATATATATATATATATATATATATATATATATGAAATTTACTTTACAAATCACTTTATTTATATAAACCGTACAAATTTCATTCAACTATATATAATTTTTCATTTTGTAATTATGAGAGCTTGATTAATCATTTTTATCGTGAAGGGTGTTAAACATGAATATTATCATGTTTATTATATTTATTTTAGAGAAAAATACATGAAACAATTTAATTAAAATTTCATAAGTATTATATGAAACAATTACATAATCATATATGAAACAATTTCATCAAAAAAATATTATATAAAACAATTTTATAAGACTAAATAATTTCATTATTTTTTTTATAACAATGAGGATAGTTTGCACGATTTATACAAATATTAATGATTTGCATTTGATCGCGCATCTCTTGCACAATGCAACGAGATACATATCGATTTTAATATATTTTTTACTTTTTTGCCTCAGTCAATGTTATAATATGATTTTAAGAAATAAATAATATTTTTATTTTTGAATAAAATATAAATATAAAGATATATTATAAAAAGTTTAAAAAAAATATTGATATTGGTACCAAACTAATTAATTAAAATTTCTCCTTTTTTGTGTGTTTCTTTAATTCATTTTTTTAATTTTTGGTTTAATAATATAATTTTTTTTATAAAGATAATAATTAAGTATTTTGTTAGGACTTAATAATTATTCTAATTATATTTTAGATTTTTTATATTTAAAATGAGATGTTTATTCACTATTTGATTATGTTTATCTGTAGTTAGTTACACGAAGTCAAACATTAAGCTATAATAAGTTGTATTTATTCATAATTTACTTGTAATCTTGAATTTTAAGTAATATGCGTCAATAAACAATACTTAATACATAAAACATGGGTTTTAAGAGTTTTTGTCAAATATTTTATATAACAGTATAGATATAATATATATTTTTAATTTAGAAAAAGAAAAACACATTCATGGAATCAGCACAAAGTATACGTAGATCAAGGATGTTCACGTGACTAACATAAGACACTGCTCAAACGTGTATTAATTTAATTACATATTTTATTATACATAATAAATACTTGAATTAATACAATATAAATAAAATTATTTATTAATTTGTAATATTTTTATTTGGATATATTGAATTGGACAAACAGACAAGATCTTGAGTTATCTATAACTCCAAATATGTCGAGCGCTTTGGATACTCCTTCGCTTCAAGAGAAATGGTTGTAAACTAATTTCCACATTATTTTAATTTTTTAATATCCAAAATATAAATTGTATCATTTTATTATCCTCGGAAAATATTTTATATTTTGACGAAAAAGAGTAAGGCGTCGTTTACCAAATGCTTATCCAGGTAAATACTTACCAAATCACATTACCTTACTGGATGAATATGGTAAGGATCAAGAATATTATTCGGTAAGAGGGAGACAAGGACCGAGAGTTTTACCCGATAAGTGAGGACGACGACTCTTACTATGGTAAGCGCTTACTGGATAAATTGTTACATATAGTGTCGTTTTGGTAGACTAAAGTTTTACCCGGTAAGTAAGTGGTAGTGTTACATTTTACCAGTAAGCACTTACCGGATAAATGTTTTGTGAACGACCCCTAAGTTTACAAATTTATTTAAAACTAAATAGATCATATATATATATATATATATATATATATATATATTATAATTATATCTCATATATCAATTATTTATACAAGTAAATGTCATTATTTCTACCATATCTAGGTCCACAATAGCTTAAGACCAAAAATAAAATCAAATTGAACACAGATATGTAATTGCGACAGCCAGGTCTGCAATTGCATCGGTAAACTAGTTGAGTTTAACTCTTTATTTTTTGTCTTTTAGGTAAGTCCGCAATATTATGGATCTGGATATTGCGAAAGGGAGGTGGTTAGAAAAACCATTTTGAATGAGGGAAATCGTCATTTGAGCTAATTTTCTCTCTTTTCCCTTCATCCACTTACATTCACCTACATTTACATATATTTGATCAAAAAATTGATTACTGACAACCTCAGCTTTGTCTTCAAGAATATCAATGTGAGTGAATATTTTTAGCTCACTCAACAGTTGAGGGGTAGCAAGGAACCCATGATTGAACACAATACATGTTTTGTATTTAAGTAAAGTTGTGTTCTTCATTTGTCTACTAACTACAAGCTAAAGGCTCAACATTTACACGTATTCATCTACTTAGGGGCCGTTTACTAAACACTTACCTGAAAAGTGTTTATCAGATAAATTTCCTTATCGGATAAACATGAGAAGGCAATGAAAATGATAGAGAGTCTTACCCGATAAGTAAGAATGACGACTTTTACCCAGTTAACCACTTACCCAGTAACTTGTTGCATTCGATATGTTTTTATATATTAAAATCTTATGTATCAAAATAAATTATAATGTTGAATCCTATCGGTAAGCATTTACCGGATAAGCATTTGGATAAACGTCCCCTTAAACTTATGTATTTGTATTATCATGACTGAAGTTTCAACAAATCAATATATATTAAAATAATTTGATATGTAAATGTGGTTGAATGTGACCAAAAACAGGAAGATAGACAAATATGAAGATAAAAAAATAAAATAAAATAATAATAATAATCAACAAATGAATCCGTAATTATATTAATAAAGTTGATGATGCTACGAACAACTTGCCTTATTAATCTTTCCTACCTTTATTCCTCCATAGCTCTCTCTCTCTTTCATGGCTGCACCACCGCCGTATTTCCACCACCGACATCCATTCATTCCGATATAGCTTCCACCCATTCATGGCCACTATACGTCCCTTTCTTTCCAACTTCATCACCCTCCTCTTCATCCTCCTCCACCTTGGTTGCTTCATCATCTTTCCCACCTCCCGCCACCACCGCCAACGCCCAAAACCCGCCAGAAAACCACCCTCTCCACCCCGTCTCCGCCGTATCTCCTCCCCCAAACTCAAACGCCATAAATCCCTCTCTTCCACTTGGTCATTCTTCAAACGAATCTTCTCATCCAAATCCACATCACAAATCATCGACGGAAACTCCTCCATTTTTCATCAAATACCCTCTCCGGCATCTTCTACTCGTTCAATATCCATCATCCAACCCGACACCCAAATAACAACCCGCCCCGATTCTCTCACCGATTCCGACTACATCCACCCCTGCCTGAATTGCGGTGAGATTTTCCAGAAACCCGGTTTGCTTGAACAGCACCAATCTCTCAAACATGCTGTCTGCGAGCTTCTGGATGAAGATCCGGGTAAGAACATTGTTCAGATCATATTCACAACGGGTTGGTTAGGGAAGAACCCGTTGATAAATCGGGTCATGAAGATCCACAACAGCCCTAAGATACTTACCCGGTTCGAAGAATACCGTGAGATCGTGAAATCGAAGGCGGCAAGATACGGCGGAGTACGACGGAGGGACGAACGGTGTATCGCCGACGGCAACGAGCTACTCCGGTTTCACTGCGCCACATTCTTGTGTGACCTGGGGCAAAACGGTAATTCCAGCATCTGCAGCCACCAGTACTGCAGTGTATGTGGGATCATTCGGGCCGGGTTCTCATCCAAAATGGACGGTATATCCACATTATCAACAAGTTGGAAGGGACACGTGGCACTCCCTGAAGACATCGAGGAGGAGTTCCGATTCATGCACGTGAAGCGAGCCATGTTGGTCTGCCGGGTCATAGCGGGTCGGGTCGGATGTGACCCGGAAATGGGGGACAAGGATGACCCGGGATATGATTCCTTGGTCGGGAGGGAAACCGGTGGGACAGAGAGCAAATTGGACGATGAAGATGAGCTGATTGTTTTTAATCCAAGGGCTGTGCTTCCTTGTTTCGTGATCGCCTACACCGTCTGATTGTGATTATTTACGAGTAGGGATGGTACAGTGGGACTGGGGACTGGGGAGTGATGCAGATTATAGAAGCTCACAGACAGGTTTTTGGCCCCCACCCGGCCCACAACGGTGTCGTATTTACGTAGGTTGTTGAATGTTAAGTCATGAGTTGTATCGTAAGCTTTTAAGTGTGGTTTTTGGATCTATGTGATTGGGTATTGGGAATAATTTGAAATACCTATTTATATTAAAATCAAATTAAATTATACATTTAAAATATAAAAAGTAAGTTTTGATATTAATGTATACGAAACATAATTAATGAAAAGTACGCATTTAGCCTGTCAATGGTGGATCTATGGAGCTCGAGTGGGTCTCGTGTACCTATTCAACTTATTTTCATAGGTACAATTTTTTTTTGGTATAAAAGATGTACATGTTAAACTATGAATGGTGCTTCGAGGTATTAGAAAATACAAGGAACAACAACGGAAAATACAAACAAGCCTCTCAAAATCAACCAAAAAATTTAATCTCTCGAAATGGTGGAATTTGTTTGAAAATACATCAGACAATTTTACAGACCTTTGATCCATATTAAAGGTGCACCGGGTGATAAAAGTCTTGGTCCAAGTTGTAGCCTGAATCTTTGGAAAAAAACCCATTAGTTACTTGTAGGGAAAAGTTCAAAAAAACTCAACGAATTATCTTATTTTGAATGATTAAGTTCATAAACTATTTTTTTGAATGAAAAAACCATTAAAATTTCTTTTTTTAAATTAAAAAATAAGAAATTTTCTCATTTTAATTGATCAAGTCTCTGAACATTTTTTTTAATAAATAAACTACCTCACTCTTTAAAAATTGGTTACTTACATCCTTTTAAGGAAAAAAAAGTTACATTAACTGACTAATAAAAGTTCTATTGTTTATTTCTTAAAAAAATCATGATTTAATCATTTAAAATGTGAAAGGTAAGGGGGGTTTTCATTTTAAAAAATAGTTAAAGGACTTAATCATTTAAAATAAGAAAATTTAATGGTTTTTTTGCCCCGACTTGGCTCGTGCTCACCCCTAACCATAACACCTTTTGTGAGGCTACATAATAACTTGTGATGCCCCAACAACAACACGACTATCCACCACAACAATTAGAAACGACTGCATATAAGGAAGGAGCAAAGGACTAGATCAAGGACGAAGATGGTCTGCAAGTGGCAACTAGCAGTTACAAAGTGGGAGTAGCAATGGTAGTGATGGAGGACTATATCGATGATAAGTAGTGGTGACAGAGAAGTAGATTGACAACAGGTAGAAGGGAGCAACTGTAGCAACGATGGGCAAGGATATTGAGGCGTTGACTATCAGAAGGCTGAATTCAGAAGGACATGTGGTTGAGTGAGAAGGGTACCGTTGAAAAAAAGAAAACAAATGGCTAAATGGATGATCAATCCTTCAACAAAGAGGTTATGGCCGAACGAATAAGTTGCCATATTATTAACTCATTAAGCTGCAAACAAAATTTAATACTTCTTTTTCCAAAAAAATCAAGGAAAAAACTTCATTGAAAAATTTAGACGGGTTTTAAATGTATTATCAACGAATTACATGGTTGTTGAAAATTTGTTAAACAATTTCAAAAAGATATGGTTTTTTATATCTAAAAAAAAATATTCAATAATTTAATTATTAAAATTTGGATTTTAATAGAAAAACGATAAAAAATAAATAAATTAGCATGTCTCAAAATTCGTTCAACTTTCGGAAAACAATAAAACGATTTTGGTGTGTGAGAATGGTACTTGCTTATTTAATGTCCCATATGGTCACTACTAAGTCCTGTCATATCTCATCAGTGAGAATTTAACAAGACTTATTATACTGGTTTATCCATTAACGAGCCATTAAAGACCATTATGGCCAGTTATACTTCAATTAGACGTATTAAATATTTATAATTTGGTCACTCAAATACACTTTAAAAATACGTTTTAATATAATTAAAATTACGTTTTCTTATAAAAATACATTATAAAATTATTTAAAAATACATTTATTTATAAAATTATTTGAATTTTCGGACCGGGCCGGGCCGGTCAGGTCCATAGTCGGTCCCTTAATCGGTCCCGGTCCCAGTCGGTCCCGGTCCCACGAAACTACCAAAAACCTCAACTGGTCCCCGTTTTCAGTCCCATAACCGGTCCTTATCAGTCCCGGTCCTTCGGCGGTCCCAGTCGGTCCCAGTCCCACGAAACTACCAAAAACCTCAACCGGTCCCCGTTTTCAGTCCCATAACAGGTCCTTATCAGTCCCGGTCCTTCGGCAGGTCCTTCGACGGTTCCGGGCCGGGCCGGGCCGGGCCGATTTGGTTATCTCTATTTATGATGAGACAAAGGATGTTTTTCCAAGTTGGGTGTGTTTTGTCATTTAAGCAAAATTGGATGGTCAAAATATTATAAGTGAAAGTTACTTAGGGGCTGTTTACCAAACTATCCGGTAACGGTAAGTGCTTATTGGTAAAATTTAATACTATTATTTACTTATCGGGTAAGATTTTAATCCACCAAAACGACATCGTATGCAACAATTTACCCGGTATGCGCTTACCGTGGTAAGAGTTGTCGCCCTTACTTACCGGGTAAGACTTACGTTTCTTGTCTTGCTCTTACCGGATAAACTACTATTGAAGTTCCTATCTCAGCTCTATCATGGTAAATTCTAAAATTTAGGTTTTCTTTTTCTTGGTCAAAATTTTAGCAAATCAAATCAGTTGTCGCATATCTGTTTTTATTGGTCCTTTTGACATAAATTTCTCGGTCGCTCAATAGACAGACGAACTCTCTTTCTCTTTTACGCAATATCTTGAAGTAGCAGAGTGGCTACTGATTCTTAGTGTTTGAAGCTCAATGTTGGATATATATGTAGGTTGTATTGTATCAATTTGAGTAGATATAAGGTTAAAGAACACGTTTCTTCCTTGAAATTAATGAGATCTCCACATTTTTTTCGGCTACTATGATCTTTTTGAGTGATGTCCAGATCTTGTAAAAATCGTAATAAATTGCTCACACATCGGTTTGAGGCTTATAATATGTCCTTGGAACTACTGAGATGTCCTCTACAAACTGTATATATTGAGGAAGAGCTGATTCATAATATAAGTATATAAAAAATTGGGTTTAGTAGAACAACTTTATTTTATAAAGGGATTGAGTAAACAGTCTCTAAATATTCGTATAAAATTGGTTTTAAATTTGTTGGGGGTTATTCTTGATGGGTTGGAAAGTTTAAAAGGTTGTATAATTTTTTTTAGAGTTCTTTCATTGATTTGGTGATTCTACATGGTTTATCTGGTAGCAAGACGATTGTACAAGTTGGATGGAAATAAAGTTTAACATAACATAGCAAGGTGAGTGGAAGTTTCTTTTTGAAACCTTTGTACATATCAAAAATGTCTATTTTGGAATCTTAAGATGTTTTATTGATATTTAACGAATGTGTTGTTTATTTGATGAGATTTGCATCTTAGGTACATTTGATTTATATATCTTGTGAAATGCCCATATTTGGGATTTCTTGACATCTTGATAATTAAATCATAAAGGTATGTCATTTTGATAATTTATTGCATAAATGAAGATTATTTGATGTTAATGCATTCTTAGCGTATTTGGTTTTATAAACCATTTGGAGAATACATATTATTGTGTTATGAGGCGTTTTAGAGATATAAATAGTATGATTTCATTTTGAAAATGCAAAAGATGAGTTTTTGAGTTAATCATACTTTTGGAGCATGAGTTTGCATAAACATGGAATAAATGTGTTTTGTTGCTTATCATTGACTTTTTTTTATTAACCTGGATATCCAACCTGCTATGCGAGCCGACTAATCCCAGAGCGACTACCTGCTTTGCAGATAGCCCAGAATCACCGCATTTGAACCTCCGTAGCCACAAGGGGATTTTTATTCCCCTTGGATTTGAACCTGAAACCTCCTGGTACTTTTGACCTTTGGAGTCAAGCTCAAACCAATCAGGCACCACCCTTGTGGTTTATGATTGACTTTTATTTGAGTTGTCAAATAAATGTAAATAAAAGTAGGTTTGTTATTTTGATTTTGGCCCATTTGAGTTTTAAGGACATTTGGCCAGTTTCATTTGGTCATTGATTGAGCTTGGGCTTGATTTGCATTTATTGTATCTTTATTTGAGAATTACATGTTTTGAGTGCACTGGTCAATCATTTGGAGTCATGTAATTTAGACTATAATGCATTGGTCAATTATTTGGAGTCATGCAATTTAAACTCTATGCGTTGGGCATTAAGATCTTGTATATCTTGTGGTGACGCTCAGTAAGAATGTGCACTAAATGTACTGTGACCTTGAGGTGACGCCCAATAAGGGGCGTACACTAAATGTCCTATGACCTTAAGGTGACGCCTGACAGGGGGTGTGCACTAAAGGTATTGAGGACTTGAGGTGACACTTGATATAATATGCACTAAAGTCACTAGTTCTGAAGTGTAACTCGATAACATTGATATATAACATACTTTTGTGTTCCCACCATGTTCAATGAAAACGGGTCTCCCCCATCACAGAAAGATGATGTTTTTGGATAATAAAGTTTTATCCATTATTTCATTATTTGAATAGTAAGCCTCCTATGCATCTTGTGTGAGTAATGGATTTTTGTATAATGGTAAACGAGTGTTTTGATTAACGAGTTTTTATCACGAAAATAGTGGGTTTCAGGAAAGATGTTGCTTTTATATTTAATACGTTTCAGATTGGGAAATTGTGAATTAAATAACATCATTTCAATTCTACCATTTTATAACTATGATGAAATTTGTTTGAACTCAGTAAGCGTTAAGCCAAACTCTTTTATACAATAAAAAGAAGTTGTACAAATCCCCCAAATCTCATAAAAAAGCACATATAATTTGTTCCTCAAGATTAACAAGTTTTAAGAGGGCAAAAGAACAACAATAATCTTGAAAAACAGTATCTCAGGACACATAAATCCAACATAAAAAAGACAAGAATCATTAACCTTAAAAATCACAAAATTATACCTTTTAGAAACTGAGAATATATCCATCTCTACCAAATCCATTGCTTCTTTGCATACGATGATCCAAGAACAACCTCCAATGGCAGCCATTAATAATGGCTTCTTCCAAGTGGTTATATAACACATATCAAGAAGCAGTTGGGAAGAAGGTTTGCATAAAATTCAACTCATCGTCGTACGATTGTGTGATGTCTAAAGATGGATCGGAATCAATGGAATCTGAATGTGTTAGCTGATCAGCAAAGATGATGGCGGAACTCTCCAGGGTTTCACCGGTGGTGGCAGTGGCGGTGGCGGTGGAACAAGAGGAGGAGGCTAGATTCTGATCACTGGTTTGGCTTCTGATGTAGTCTTGTAAAAGAGAAGATTGAGACTTTCTATTGTTGGTGTCGGTTTTCTTGAACTTCCGACTCGAATTCTGCCTTCTTTTCGTTGCGTTCCATTGATTCTTTATCGCGTTTTCTGTCCGACCCGGAATCAGTTTTGCGATTTCCGCCCATTTGTTGCCGATTCTCTGATGAGCTTCGATTAGCATTCGCACTTCTTCTTCACTCCATGTATCTTTCTGAAAGTAAACAATCGGGGAAAAAAATGGAAATTCACTTTCGAACACCTTTAATTTGTAACGGATTTTGATTATTCGACACATAAAGCTCGCAAATATCACGTGAAACGGAGGGGGTTTTTGGGATTGCTTATGTGAAACAACTTATGCTTGTGAACAAAAGTCATTATCAAGTTATTATAAGTTAGAATGGTTTAACTTCTTCAAAGACTCCTTATTACCGGTTTGGCACCGGTATAAACTGTTTATCAAAACACTCAAAAACATGGAAAAACGACCACAAAAATGGAAGAAACAAAGATATCAAGATCGGATTTACGAGTTTATGAAGATCGATATCATGATTCGAATCTATAAAATCAATTAATATAACTTGAATCAATCAATTTAACACCTTAATTTGAAAAAAAAAGATTTGGGGTTAATTAAAAAAGGGGGTTTTCCACATAAATTAACCCAAAATTATTTGACAAAATATAGAACAAATCTAAGTTCCTAGATCTCATTTGCATCACAATGTAGGAAAAAATGGGATTATTTGCATCCTTAATTTAGAAATTTTGTAGATATATATATATATAATCTATATCTATATCTATATATACATATGTAATTGAAATCTTTCTTGCTAGAATTTCCTAAAATCAAAGCATGTTTAAGAAGAAATGGATGATAGAAACAAAACCTTGATATCGGGCCGCAAATGGTTGCGCCATCGTTCACGACACTGTTTCCCGGCTCTTCCGGTCATCTTTTCCGCGATGACAGCCCATTTCGCAACTCCAAATTGGTTCACCAGCCTAATTAGTTTCCTTTTACCACGAAAAAAACAAGAAAAATCACGCGTTTATTTTACGCATGAACTCGAAGAACAAATCGTTGATAACGCGTTTATCTTACTCATGAACTCGAAGAACAAATCAAACGATCGTAAACACAAACAGATCGATAAAAACATGCAAGAATCAATCAAGAAATAATTAACTAAAAGCATCGAAATTAAACCTATCTTCTTCATCTGTCCATTGTCCCTTAATCAGAACTTTCGAGGTCTCACCACCTTTCGATTTCTTAGTTGATCTTGAAATCTTTTCGGGATTAGAATCCCGATAAGGATCGTAATTGGGATAGTTCATCAGTTCGTCCCAATTAAGACACTCTCCGACGTCTTTAGTGAACACATCTTCAATGGCAGCGGAGCTTTTCGCCATCGATAAACATGGCGGAAAACAAATTTGGCTTTCGTTGTTGATTGCACCATTCGAACCAGAAAATTGAAAACCCCCATTTGAAGAGATGAAAGCTTCGTTGATCTGCTGGTTTTGATGCTGAGAAAGAGGGTTTTGAGTTTGATCAGATCGATTTCGACCCCATAAGAATCTTTCAATGGCTGTTAATGGCGGAGGAGCACGTTTAAACCAAGAAGAATAGTTTTGATAATTCAAGTAATTAGCCAATCCGGCGACGCCGTGACCACCGCCGTAGACGCCATGATCGCCACCTTCCATGCTCAGAGAATTCCTTATCAGATGTGATTGGGAGTATGGGAGTTGGTGTTGCTTATGCTCTTCACAATATGGTTTTATGTGCTTTGTAATGGGTTTACTGTCTACGTATGATGACAGCCGTTAGATCAAGAGGTTGATCCGATGGTTGACAATCGTTAGTCACTATGACCTTTTGGCTTCCTTTCTTACAGAAAAGATGATGTGGCGAGATGTAATTGGTGAGTTGATATCAATTAATAGTAATTATTGAGAGGAGGGTATTTGGGAGAACATTAAGCCTTGATTTTAATTTCTTAAATTGGCCAATAATTTTTTTTAACATTTATTACATTATTTTATCAAAAAATAAAAAATAAATAATTAAAAAATGGGATAAAAAGCTCTAAGTTGTGTATACTTCCATATTTCATATAATTTATAAGTAGATGTTTAGAATAAGAATTTTAATTATAAGAGTGATGACAGATTGGTTTGAGATTGACTCTAAAGGTCAAAAGTACCAGGAGGTCCTAGGTTCAAATCCAAAGAGAAATAAAATCCCCTTGTGACCATGGAGGTTCAAATGCGGTAAATCCGTACTATCTGCAATACTTTCCACAATAGAGAAAGCATGAGAGAAAATGTGAAATTATCTGAATTTGGAGAACTTCCGAAAAATGATCATCGAGAAACAATTTTTATTATAATCTCACCCATAAGAAATCTTAATGTTAAATATTTACGAATTTTTTTTATTACATGTATAAAATATTATAATAATATAATTAATATTGTAATATCCAAAATAGAAAATTTGTTGGAGTTGAACCCGATTCTTTTTGGAGGTTAATTTTTTATTCTCCATTTTTGAGAAATTTTAAAAAATTTGTTAGAACATCTCCAATAACTATGCTAAATTAGTCTTTTCGTTAGATTTAGATGTAATTATTCTGAGAGATTTTGATTTTTTGATACTCTATTTAGGGGACGTTTACCAAACACTTACCTAGTAAGTGTTTACCGGCAAAAATTAACACTATCATTTACTTCCCGGGTAAGATTTTAGTCCATCAAAACGACATCGTATACAACAATTTACCCGGTAAGCACTTACCATGGTAAGACTCGTTGCCCTCACTTACCGGGTAAGACTCTCTTGGTTCTTGTCTTGCTCTTACCGGGTAAGATTCTTGGTCCTTACCGGGTAAGATTCTTGGTCCTTACCATATTCATCCGATAATGTAATGTAATTTGGTAAGCGCTTACTCGGGTAAGCATTTGGTAAACGGCCCCTTAGAAAAATTATCGCATATTTATTGGAGATGCTCTTAAGATGTGTTTGGTACAGGGAATAGGACAAAACAAAACTTGTTCGCCACGTTTGGTGCGACATCAGCTTGTGGAAAATGACAAAATTGAATGGGACAAAAATGCATTTTTTTTTTGTCACAACAAAATAGGTGGAACAAAAATCAGAAAGATGAAAACAGGTTGGTAAATTACTAGCGACTTGTGTCGAATTAAAATCATAAAATTTTGCATCATTGTTTTACTCGCCTACCACATTGTCACTCATTCCCGTTCAGTTTATCTGCCTACCAAACACACCCCCATTAAATTTTTTATTAAATTGAAAAGTAAAAATAATGAGATATTCTGGTACTCAATCATTTTATATCAAAACGGAGATAGTTTTTGAGTATTCTCTTCATATTTTTTTTATTAAAACGTAAAATTTGGATTTTATTTTTCAATTACAAGTTGTAAAAACTATAAACCACCAATTAATGCATAACTTGATCTTTAAAAGGCAAGAACAACAGATACTTTGGGTTAAAAACATTATTTCAAAAATTTTGACCAAAAACATTATTTCAAAAATTTTGACCAATGGAACATTTTAATATTGAATCTACAAATCATCTTATTTATGATTTAAAATCACAACTATAAAATTAGCATCGAAAGAGACGTAGAATAAAACAAAATCTGAAACAATATTGTCGTTTCAGGTTGTCGGCTTCATAATCAAAATGATTAACGCAACATCATGCGCGGGGTTCGTTGCTAGTTCTTGCAAAAAAATGAGTTAAATTGGTTGAAAATGAAACCAATTTTCCCTAAAAAGATTGATGGCACCCGTTGTGTCATGGATACAATACCGGGTGAATCGGGTTGTGGATCCAAATCAGTCACTAGATATGGCCAAGTTGGTCTCGAATTGGTCACGAACCGGTTATGACCTGACGGTTCAGGATCGGTTATATATTTTAAGAAATTTCAAGGCCTGGACTAGGATTGGTTATGTTTAACCCTTACTTTAAAAAAATTAGGTTTATATAAATTATATTACAAGATTTTATTATTTAAAGTATAATTCAATACTATATCTCAAAAATCGTAATTTTAGTAATAATGTAAAAAAGAGTTTTTAAAAAAACTGGGTCGGGCCCGGGACAAGATTTGGGACCGACCCGACTAGACCGAAACTGATAATCGGGACCAGATTGGTCTTGGAACATCTGGTCGAAACCGACCGACCCAATTTTAAAAGGATCGATTTGGAACCTGTCCGACCCAATGTAAGAATTGGTTTTTGGTATCGCTATCATGCACCTAGCAAGTTGAATCGTGTATTTTGAGAAGTTGGGTCGTGAAGTTGAGTTGGTTCAATGATAGGCCATTTTGTGGGTTGTTGTGATTTTAGACAGAACAGACGTTTCAGTTATTTATTTTATTTTACCAAAACACGGTTGCACTTGCACCCAAGAGATGGTCTATTCCATCGTATGCACGATAATGGATATACCACTGCATGTCACATGTCCATATTCATTATGAATATGAATATGAACATGAGTTATTTATAACATTAGTCATGAATACAAACATTCATAATACTCAATAGTGTACATTTCAATCTTAATCAACATTTATGATGAATGTCTCTTCTATATTCATTATGAATATGAACATATGATGCGATCTCGATGGTTTTTCCATTCTCCGGAAAAAAAAGGTTTTTAAAGAAGGATGCTCCAAATTAACCAAATAATGACTTTTTAATAAACTCAATAAACAAATTATCCTTTGACAATCCTAAACTCCAAGGTATCATCCAAAACTCAATTCACATAATGTTTATTTAAAAACATGCACAAAAAATTTCTTCCGATGAATCCTTTCAAGAAAAGAAATCACTGAATCCAGAGCAACATACAACTCTCATTACCCAATATACAACTTAACACGCCACCATTACTCTGAACTTAACCATTCCAGCTCTGGAAAAGACCAAGCTACACCGGAAACTTATTTCCTTTTTCTTCTATGAATTATATTTTGAAGCCGCCGCCGGCGGTGGTGGTGGTTAAAACTTATCGGAAATGACATTTTCCGGCGAGTCAATCAAGAGGATAGCAAGTATCATCGGCGCCGTTGGTCCATAGAAAATGTGCATAACTAGCACTATAAAACGAGTTATCAGGATCAGCAGAAATGGCTTCCAAATAGGTCTCTTCAGCTGCCCATAAGTCTTGTTTAGCATGCCATAAAAAGCCTGCGTATTTGCTTAATGATTCAGCATCTTTTGGCTCAATCTCTAAAGCCCTTTTGAAGTAGCTTTCTGCTCTGTTTTTGGGCACAAAACAACAACAAACAAAGTATCAAGATTGTCTTTTTATTTGCCATAAAAAGAAACAAACAACTCCCACAGCTCATTTCTCATGGTACCTAAATGCTTACCTGGTAAGTGTTTATCGTTAGAGTCAACGTTATAATTTATTTTATTGGGTAAGGTTATAGTACATCAAAACGTATTTCATGCAACAAATTTCTTGGTAAGCGCTAACCCAGGTAAGAGTCGTCACCCTCACTTATAGGGTAAGACTCTTCATCCTTATCCTCGTTCTTACCAGATAAGATTCTTAACCCTTGCCATGTTCATCCGGTAAGGAAAATTACCCGGTAAATACTTACCAGGTAAGCGTTTAGTACACAGAACCGAATTAAGGTTAAAGATTGTACCTGCTTTCATCATGGACGAAGAGGTAGAGGAACTGAGCATAATTGGCAAGAAGAAGGGGATTGGTTGGTTCTTCTGATAGACCCATTTCATAAAGAAGTTCCGTTTTCGAGTAATCTTCTGTATCTACTTCTCCGGCGAGTTTTGCCGTCACCGGCGACACAAATCTTTGCATGGTTTCGTGATCAAGACCTCTATATCCAATCGGTTCCATCATCTTATCAGCTTCAGCCACCATCCAGTGCCATAAAGCCCATTCCTCCACCTGATACGACTGACCTGAAACCGATTCCTCACTGGTTCGGCTCGGGTCTACTGTTCTGTGATGTTCAATAGACTCGTCGAACTTTCCGTCACCATCTGTACCGCTGGTTAACGGTCTGGATTTCCCACCTCCGCCATTGATGCCACCGATTGAGGTTGTTTTCCCACCGGAATTTACAGAAAAAGACTGGGTTTTTAAAGAATCGAACTTGGTGTCTGTCTGATCTTCAATGGCGGAAACCGATTCCATGGTCGCTGGCGGCGGCGGTGGTGGTGCTGCGATGGCGATGTTATTTGACATCGAATAAACACTGTAATTCGCTAAAAGGATCATTACGTACACCATTAAAGTGGGTGTGTGAGAAAAAACTTGTTGGAAAAGCCAAACGAAAGATGCATTCATTTCTTTCTGAACTCTGACCAAAATCCCCTGTAAATCTTCGAAGAACAGAACTTCTCTCATTTGAAGAGTGTAGCTTTGAAGCTCTCGAATTATGAACACCATTGATGAAAAAGCTTTCTTCATTGAACAGTAAGAAGATAAAGATTCCCCTGCCTCCATGAAGCCCTCTTCCCATTGTTTCTTTTTCTGTATGATTCGTAAGGAAAATGGTAGTTCCATGCTGTTTGCTTTTCGTTCTATGCTCGCCGGAATCATATCCCCCGGCCATTCCGGCGGTGGTTCCATTTTTGAACTAATAAATGGGTCTGGAATCTCTGGCTCTGAATCCGATACATCGTGGTTTTCCGATGAATCAGTCTCGTCGTCATCGGAAAATTGGAATCTGAGAGCCAATTCTTGAATCTCCCTCGAGAATTCCTCGTCGGAGAATTCTGAATCTAAGTTCGCACTTACAACGCGTTTGATCGACTGTTTTCCATTCGATAATTTCAGGGTTCCACACGACCGAGATCTATTGAGCTTCTTTCCAAACACCGTCGACCGGTGAACGTACCGGCAAACCAACGGGACGTCGGTTAAACTACGTCGTTTCGAAGAAGGTGATGAAATTGCAGAGGCTAGGGTTTGTGGTGAAGAAGAAGAAGACGATGATGAGTGTGAAATCGAAGGTTGTGACCAATTCAAACACCCAGTTGCCACCTTCACTCCCATTGAAACAAGAACACAGCTTAAAATCTTGAATGGTTTCAGATCCAAACCTGAAAATTTAAACCAATAAACGGTGAACAATCGTTCACAAATCTCAATAACCATTGAAATTAACATGAAGAAATGATTACCCACGTGGAAAACACAGAGTTTTAGGAATTAAAATCGGATCACAACCCAAAAACGAAGGGAAACCGAGAGAAAAATAACAGAAAAACAATGGGTCATATCAAGATCCACTAACCTCGACAGATTGTTTTCCGTACTACCGGAAGTTATGGCGATATTCCGGCGAGAGGAATCGTAGCTCAACTTACCAAAAGGAATAGGGGTGTGAGGTGACATATATATATACACCCATGAAGAAAATTCTTCGCATGGAAAAAAAAATCTTTGCAATCGTCTATCAATCTCATCGTATATATATCTATGTATCTATACAATACATGGACCGTATACGGTAAACGGAGACTAACAGGTGTCTTTTTGTTTTGGGAGTCGTAACCTAAGTTTTGACTTTTATATTTCTTTTGGATTCTCTACAAGTAAATCAGACGCTCTATTTTAACTTTTCAGATTCAGCAATCTATTTACGAGATTAAATTGATGATGACTTTTTGAATTATGCATTCATTTATACCATAGAAAATGAAGTATATAATAATGTTAAAAATGAAGATGTAATCGATCGTTTCCAAAAATTGAAAACACGTCGAGGACAAATTTATGAGTTGTTTCTCAATTCTATAAAAACCATATTTTTTGTAATTATTTTTGGGTATATATGGACCGTTTTCAAAAGATGAAGACGTGTTGTGTACAAGTTTAGGAGTTATTTATCGAGTTTCTATAAAAAACCATATTTTTTATAATTATTTTTGGATCTATATTATATTATATTAATTATATGGTGTCAGCGTTTGAAAAAAATTCTAGATCCATTTCTGATGTGTTTATACATTTTATAATACATTAGATAGAGTTGTTAGATGATTTCTAATAGGAATCTATAGTATCATGGTGTTTTTATTTTAGGGTTGTAATTAGCAATTAGATGAAAGTAGAAGGGCATTAGATGTTAATAGTATGTTCCACTTGAACGAGATGGGGTCCACGTGGGGGTGGACGGTGGTGCGTATCACCCCGAGGTTTAGAAAGGGGCGAGGCATTGGTGTAGGGGTGAAGCTACCAGGGGAGTTTGGTTCGTAGAAATCTAGTGAAATTAGATTGATCAATTTCGTTGACCAAATTTCATTTTAATGTTTAGTTATTTATATAATAAAATTGAATTTCAAATATTTTTTTATTTGAGAATTTTATCATTCTTTTATAAAAGTGATGGAATTGAAATCAATTTCATCAAAAAAATGTGTAAATGACAAAAATACATTTTTTCAATTTCATCATCTGCTTAACGATTTATGTTTGCTTCCCGTTTCTCCTTATCGATTACTGCTATTGCTTAATGATTTATGTTTATTTGTTGCTTCCAATTTCTGCTTAACGATTTATATTTTGCTTCCCGTTTCTACTAATCGATTATTGTTGTTGCTTCCAGTTTCTGCTTAACGATTTTTGCTTATCTGTTGCTTTCCAATTTCTGCTTAACGATTTCTACTTGCTTCCTGTTTCTGCTTAACGATTTCTACTTGCTTCCTGTTTCTGCTTAACGATTTCTACTTGCTTCATGTTTCTCCTTATCAATTACTATTGTTGCTTTCAGTTTCTGCTTATCTAATTCGTAATGATTTCTCCGACGCCTGTCGTTTACCAAATCGATTTCTACTTAATGATTTCTCCGGCCGTCCGGCGCATGTTGTTTACCAAATCGATTTTTGCTTAACGATTTCTCCAGATAAGAAGACATTTCTTTTCCAAATCGATTTCTAATTATTGTCGTTTTACCAGATCGATTACGGATTCGAGAGACGCCTATCGTTTTGCCAGAAATAAAAGAAAGAGAAGAAGAAACCCTAAAAACAAGATTGCATCTTCATTTATATATATATATATATAGTTTTGTAATAAAAAAAATGATGCAACAAAAATAAAGAACAAAATCTATTGAAAACATCGATATTTACACGTTTTATGTTTCTATATGATTTCATAAATGGTAAACTTTTTTTTTTCCTTATTAAATGTTAATTTTATTGTTATTTGTAATTAAAAATAATACATTTTAAAAAAAAATATTAAAGAAAAGGTATTTTTGTTCTTTTTCATTATTCTATTCTAATTATGTTGCAAACCAAACATACAGATTTCAATTCATTAAACATATTACATTTCATTCCTGCCAACCAAATATTTAGTCAAACCTGATAACATTTCATTCCAATTTCTTCCAGATTCCAATTTCTTTGACATATTCAATTTATTCACAAATCATTTTGTGAACCAAACACCCCTTAAGTGTTACGTGTTATGAGTGTTTTTCAATGCATGCATGATATAAAACAATAAATTTATATGTTGTATATAGAATTATATATATATATCTATACTACTTTATTAAGCATTTTCATCCAAAGTCTTAAAGTCTTAAATTTATAAATACCCAAAATACCCCTTTACCTTTGATGCATAAACTACAAGTTATTATGAATCATAAATCTGGGCCCATTCAAAAAGGAAAGCATGGTCGGCCCCACCACAAAGACTACTATCACCGTATCACTTCAATAATGCTTCAGGTTCCTTTTATACATATCTATATCTATATCTATATCTATATCTATATCTATCTATACTACACTCAAAGCTTCAAATTATCACTGATGTGTTGATTTAGGTTACCAGACACTT